AATGGACAACTTTGTGGAGACAAGAAAGGTTCACTATTATCATTATCTGTCATTTTCATTTCATTATAAAATATTATATAAAAACCGGGACCACCCCATCTAACGTCTACAGTGCTAACCGTTGCACCACAGAAGTCGTCATATATAACAATAAAGTGGATTACACATTGTCGCTATTGTTAATTATAAACGTATGAAGGTTTCAAGGAACTTCGGCAGCCGCTTGAATTTAAATTTTTTTATCGGTGAAACCGACGGATCACCTTGTGAGTTGTTCTAAACTTTGCCTCGTTTCCGATTTTTCTTTTATGTATAGCATTACAGTTTCGATATCAATATTGGATATTTATTTAACATACGAAAGTCTTGTTCTTGCTACTATACATTTCATACATCTTTAATTATTGCTCTATTTCGCTTACGGAACATGAGGAAGACGTCGCAGAGTCATTAGACGTCTTCATGTCTATATAAGTACCGATAAATAACAAGTAAGCTAAAGTTCAAAAGTCAGAAGTCAGTTCCTGAGACCCGTGAACTATAACATCCCCTTGCAGGATGCAGGAGTTTACAAGCTTTACTGTGAGTGCGGTCTCTCTTATATTGGACAAACGAAGCGAAGAATTTGTACCCGCGTCAAAGAACATACAGCTGATGTCAAACACCGTCGCGTAAACAAGTCTGCAGTCTGCGAGCATGTCATGGATAAACCTACACATTCAACGAAGTTTGACAAACCCCAAGTCCTTGCAAAAGAAGTCCGTTGCGATGCTGCGAGAGGCCATTGAAATTAAAAAACATCCTAATTTCAACAGGGTAGATGGTTTCTCCATACCACCAGTTTGGGATCCAGTATTTTCTCTAATGAAAAATCCCAAACAGACATAAGACTGCAGTACTAATTAATATGTTTTAGTTTATTCTAATTTCTATTAATAATTAATAATAAATTGAACTTAATAAAAATTCATTCAATAAAATAATTTGTAAAACTTCATGTAGCGTAAATTGGGAAGTTCTCTTTGTAAAATTAAAAATAAGGTATTTAATTAATAACTATTGTAACTATAGTGAAAAAACAGGGTGGTTTGCATCAATATTAGACATAACTGGTTGAAGACTGTACCACCTCAGTCAACCGTGACCATGGGACCTGTAAATGGCCCGAAACGTCGGTTTTGTGAAAAAACAAATATACGCGATTTAAATCCGGAAAAATAGTTTCATTTCCTACGTGTAACAATTGCGAAAACCTAAGAACTCGATAAGTAAGCTAAATAAATGATTTTAGATCTTGACTACCTAAAGAGAAAGATTTAGCAACATCGCTCGGGAGGGGTTAATTATTTACGTATTCATGTGGCTCGTTATGGGTCGTTGCGATCCCGTTTCACTCAATTGTTGACGAGACGCGCGTTCGCGAAACAATCGCCGCTGTTACTTATTCAAGTGCACGACGCTCGTGAGCCTAACCCGCCCCGCCCCCGTCCCACCCCGCCGCGACGCTACGAGTGAAGGCCCCTTTGCACAGCGGCAGCGTCACTAAATAAAAGGATACCAGAGTCGGCGCAAACATTATTATATTCGTTGGATGCGGCGCGTCATGTCGCGCATTGCTATTCAGTTCGCGACGCGCGCCCCTGCGACGCGCGACGAGACGCGACGATAACTTCACGCGAAGTGGCCCGCCCAACGGGCTGTGTGTGCGTGTGTGCACCTGTCGAAGTGAAAACGTACTCGCAAGGAAAGTTAAAGGTAGGTAAGATCAATAACAAAACGATATGAGTGTTTAATCAGTCAGTAACTGTACAATTATCAAAAATTTACCTTACCTCATTGATTTTGATACACTAATATTTTCCAACACTGACAGTAACTTTATTGTTAAAGGACATAATTATTACTTTTTATTCAAAAATCCGTTCTCAAAAATTTGCTTGTCTGCTTTTTAATTGGAATTTGCAAAGTTTTATTGAAATTGGTTAAAATTCATCCCCTAATTTGCCACCCTTAGAGATGGAATATTATCTTTAAATTTAAATGGGACCAATATTGAGGTACCCTCGCTCCAAGCCTTTTTCCTCTTTGAAGCAGAAGAAGTAGGATTTTTGACAAATAGACATGAGAGCTCCTCATTTTGACGCAGGCTGAACTTCTGTAATTCTGAAACAGAGGGCCGCACCAAAATCTTTCTAATATTTCATTCATAAGCAGGCACTTAACTGTGCAAGACTGTGGCAGACTATGGCCTGAACCCGTCCCCAGCAGGCGGATATACAAACGGATTGATGACGAATAATCACACAAGTGCCTGTAGACAGGCCCGTTAACAAGGAAGCGTTGGAGTTCAGTCATGGGAATGTACATATTGCGCATGTGAGTATTACAAAGGTAAATAGAATGTATGGCTATTTTTTGTATAATTATTGTATGTTAGAAATGAAACTACTTTTTTTATAATTGTTTCTGTAATACCATTTCTATAACCGCACATTTTCAAACATCAACGTTTCGGGTCCCAGAGTCACTGCTGCTCTTCGTGGTCACGGTTGTATTCTGATCCCACTAGCAAACAGTTGATGTACTAAAAAGAAATACTAACGTGAGCAAATAATTTTTAAGACAAATCAAGAAGAGATTCTACATATGTTTTGTTTAAAATAATAATAAAGTGGTTCTAAAGAGCGGCAACTACTGGTGGTAGGCTTCGGGCGTGGCTAGTCACCACCCTCCCGAAGCAGTCGGGTTTTATCGTGTTCCGACTCGTGTTCGGGAGTTACCATTAGGAGGTCGGGTCTGAACAGCTGCAATGCATGTAACGACGCAGTTGCTACTTGTACTGCCACACTGACCACTCGGTTTTGAAGCACGGTGCACCGCTGGCCGACCGTGGGAAGTTGGGGGCCCAAGTAGCGGGAAAGCCACCCGTGAAAAGCCACCCAACGAGAAATCCCGGAATGCTCGACCTTACCGGTTAGCGATCAGAAGGGAGGACCAGGTGGCCATCTACGGAGGAGTTCGGGCGTCCCCGCGGGCTCCAAACCGATTGTACCCTCGTGTGGCAGTGGTAGCTTGCTGCTTGATTGAACACGACGCAATGCCCCGTCCAACTGCCTTCCCCCTGCGTATTCGCTTCTCGTAAAATTATAAAAAGTCACAGAAAAGGAGTAAAATTTTTCACAGCGGTTGCGGTTCTCCCATTGAAAGTGGTTGTCTGGTCGTGTTTGGAGTACTGCTGCCACCTTTGGGATGACTCTGCTACATACAAACGGCAACCTTGGATTAAATTGACAAGCATGGCAAGAGGCTTATAGGTGACTCAGAATTAGTAGAGGCGAACTACAGATCCTGAACACTACCGTAAAGTTGCCTAATTATCGGTATTTTACAGGATGTACCGCGGAGAGTGTGCGATGGAATTACACGATTGAATTCCGCCTCTTGGGTACGACCCCTATGTTGTGGGTATTCCAATGTTTCGCATGAAGCTTTATGCTTCCACATTTATATGGCGAACGGCTACGGGTATATTTCATTGAAAAAAGTACTATTAACGTAAAGTTTTTCCGTTTGGAACAAATATATCTTATACAATTAGTAATTGAATTGACGTACTTTGCAACGGGCTGATGTCCGCAACTCGACGGCAAAGCGCCTATTTTGCGTGTGGTTGAATTGACGTAATAAAGACATCGGCAACAGATGTAGGGACGACACGGCGGCAGTGGAGTCGCCACCATGTCTCGGCTCGCTAATCCGGTGTTAGGGCGCTAAACGCGCGTTCGTTTGCTCTCTGTGAAATGAATGATGTTGCAATGATGTGGATTAATGCAGGCATTATGTCGGATTAGTACAGATTATCTAATTGACATTTTGTTCTACAAAAGAGACACGAGTGGGAGCCTTTTTTCTATTAGTAATTTTGTATCGCGCAGTATATGTACTCAAGTAGAAAAAGTAGCAAATCGTTCAGCTCACAATCATTCGCGAGAATAATGCACTTGTTTTCGTGATTCTAAAGAATGAAACTTTAACAAGAAAAACCAATTTAATGAGGCATTTCGCTCAGACTAAATCCATGGGGATGAACTTATGCGACATAGCAAAGTGCAGACAGAGCAGTGCTCTGTGCGACATATACGTACTCGTATTAGCGTAGACAAGTCACTGGTCGCACCCCGTGGGCACCACGCTCTAATTTGCCTCCCCTCTCTGCTTTCGTCTGCTAACTCGGGTACAAATGGCATGCATCTTCCTCGTGCTCGCTTTATATGTCGTATGTTGTTAGTCTTAAAGTCACATACAAGTGTACGTTGCTTAAGTGGCGGCGCACTGAAGCCCGTGTAGAGGAACTTAATTCGCGCGCTGCTCTGCGCAGAGTGTTGGCAAATTCGTCTTGTGCTGTCTTGACACCTTCGGGATCACTGCAATATCATATAGGTATCTAGATTGCAGGAGTTTATACATATCTAGAATGCTTTTTGTTAGTTTGAAAACCAATAAGTCTTAGTGTAAACGTTGATGGTCTCGATCAGTCTGTCGCAGAGACCTGGCACTCCCGCCTGCAGGAGCCTGCATGTACGTAGATCGCACCGGGTGCGGCGGTTCGGTGTAGAACGCGGGGCGCGGGGCGCTGAGCGTATTTGCACTGGCGGTGATTGCGTCGGCGAACGCAAATAGACAATTCAGTGGCGCGTGTTTACGGCGAATCCCGGCGAAACAACATAAAACAGCTCCATCAAAACATACTAAGGTACAGTGGAGACTGCGTCGCGACTTCATGTCCCCTGCGCACCCCTCCGACCCGCGCCTTGTCGTCGCTCAACTCAGACTAATATTTGCACACATCTGAAAGTGTAACGAAGCTGCATAAATTTGCAACACGGATTTAAGACGTACATTAAATTCCGTTACCTAAAGGAACGAAGCTTTAAATAGCTTAAGTCAATACGTATTCAAAATAAGGTGGTTACTACATAATGATATAATTATCTGCAACATTTATGGACTCAATCGTAAAGTAGCTGGTAAGGCCACTTCACAATGTGGGTAGTGTTTAGCGCACCGTTCGAATCCTGCGAAGTAATCTGGGGCGAACTCTCGGCGTACGAGTTACGACCTCCCTGCCACCGGCGAGTTTTACGGCGCTGACGGAGCCGTGGCGGGCCGGCGGGTGGATCTGCTCGAGGTGCACCTGATTTACTCGCTCATAAAAGTAAAGTGGCACCGCCGCCTCGCCCCGGCTGAGGGGATGCTCTGCGCCGCAACTGATTCACTGTTCGCGCTGGATTTGTGGAGAGACGCCCGGCGCCGCGGGTACGCCCCGAAGTAGGTCACTCGCGGTCGCTGAAGCGTTGCGTGCTGACTGGCGATGAATGCCCCAATTTAAGACCGCTCGTGTATTAAGCCTAAGTTAAAGTCGCCACACGTACACATTAACTGCTCTAAGGAAAGCCCTCAAGCATACGAGATATTTGCGCTTCGAAAGGCGCCTTGGGCGTTTTATTGTGCCATTCGTGGTGTCTGCCGGGACCCGTCGTAATGTCAATAAAGTTAGCACCGCGAGTTGCGAGTCGAGAGCTTCCGTTGGCGGGCGGGCGTGGTGACGGCGACGGCGGCGGCGTGGAGCGTGAACAAAGGAGGACCGTCGAGTGGGACAATACAGTCACCGCAACACTATCAGCGCACTTCCGCGCCCGTCAGCGGGCGACGCCGCCGCCTCTAGCCGGTCGGCGAGTGTACTTCGTCGTTGCACTTTACGTTCGCCAACGTAACATTCTCGTAGAACTAGGCACGGAATATATGCTAGTGTTAACGAAATAGAGCGGTTAAATTCTTTACATCGAGCTCGACAATTATGTACCTAGAGAATTAGTTGGGTACCTAAAGTAATATTTATTGTCTCTCACGTATCGATAGATCTTTTTATGTAGTGTGTTTTCGCCTGATTCTCGTGGGCACGCCGCCAGATCTCCACTCGCCGGTAAATTACGCCGACCCTCGGTGCGCCACCGGCACCGCCGCGCCTCTACCGAACTCGTGTTATCCGAGTGCAATAAATAGCTTTTTCCTTCACAACTAATATCGAGGAAAATTGAGTGCGATGCGTATACCTCGGGACATATTATACTTTATGCATTGGCCGCACCTCGAATGTTTTCTTTAGATAAAGAAGAAATAGATAGATAGATAGATACACATCCGATACACGGAAACAAATAAAAATTAATAAAAAAACTAATCCAAAGAAACAATAGGACAAAAAAAATGTAACACTACAATAAATAGAATATAAGCATTAAAACAAGATATCATTATTTTTAAATTTTAAAAAACAAAAGATCAAATAACAAAAAGTACAAACAAATATATAGGCATTAGAATAAAAGCTAATATATACCTAGGCATTACAATAAAAGCTAGAATAAATAGAGAATAGTATTTAATTTCGTCGGGGCTTATTTGAGGTCCTGTACCGTTGGTAAGAAGTATTGAATCAATTTACACTAGTGAAGAGGTACTGTGTGGACGTGGAATTGAATTGAACGTAGCGAATGCATTGAACCCGATTCAGGCTGGCGGTATGAAGCGGCGACGGAACAGCGCCGTCGAGAGCCGCGGCTGATTGAAACGCTTTATCATCAAATGCTTTATCGATGTCGATCCAACAATCCTATGTGTAATATTGTTCATCTTTTTATTTCTTTATAATGTATTGCATCCTTTTTATAAAAAAATAATGTAACTATAAATTTGAATTAAACGTATTCATTTACTTAAAGTACTTTTGTAGATATGTGCTATAACGTGTTGTGGGACTGGCAATTGCCCAGCTCTCCACACTGCTGAGGCAAGCGACGTGGGTACGGCTACGGCGCAGGTGAGGGCCCATTGCAGCGTCTCTCGTGGCCGCGTCACGTGCCGGTGGCGAGAGTCAAGCGCGGAAAGTTTTTTAAATCTGCATGGTACAAATGTAATACGCGCTCCTCAAATAACCGTTTAGTTTAGCTGCTAGTCCGTGCTGCCGCTGGACACATTTCATGCTGATGTTTTTCGACAGCGACGGAAAACGGGATTCGTGTACAGAAAACTCTTTTTTCAATCGCGAAAAAAGAAAATACGGTTTCGGTTAGGCGACATTCGTAGAAAAACAATCAAAAGCAATTTAAATTTTAAAGAGATTCGCCGAGAATGTGGGTGCTCGTTTGCGGTGCGGGGAGCGAGGAGGTGGGAGAAAGGGGCTCCTTCCAAGTGCAGCGCAGTTACTTACTGAGCTTAGAGATCGGCGTTAGTAATTGAAAATGCGACCGTTTTCGGCTGCCGGCGATTCGTCGCCGCTGCATGTTTAATGCCCGCGGAAGAATACAAGCTAGCCCCAGTCGAAGTATACAAACGACGGAGACACTCGCACTCGCATCATCTTCATGCGCCAGCAAGCCGTGGCATTAACCGAAAGTCGCAATTGTTTTTGTCATGTAACTAACTCGGACAGATAACTTTTATTTATCTTATTATACCAGCATGTTTACTGTGCCATTAGAAACACAGTTACGTGAGGCGCACTATAAGTCTCCGGAATGAATAAGAAACAATACTACAAATGGTCAGAAATGAATTAATTGTTTCTCAAAATATTCTCCCTTAGCGTTAATGCCCTTTTTTATAGGAATGAACCAATTTTGAAAACATTTATGCCACTCCTCCGTGACAATCTCTGAAACATATTTTTCATACTCTTCGACAGCCTGTTCAGGTGATCAAAATCGTTGACCGCGTAACTGATTCTTAATTTTTGGAAATAAATAAAAGTCACAAAGTGCCAGGTTGGGATTATATGCGGAATGGCTCATAAGGTCAATGTTGTTCACCTTCAAAAATTCATTTGTCTGTCTGGCCGTGTGAGAACTGGCATTATCGTGGTGCAAGATGATATGGCGTTTACGGTTATTTTTACAGAGATTATCACTAATTTTCGGCAAACAAATGGTCATCTACCAATCACTATTCACAGTACCACGATTCTTCAAAGCAACAGTAGCCACGTGACCAGTTTTATTAAAAAAAGAAGCAATCATCCGCTTGGAGGCACTTTTGCACGCGCGCCACTTTGGTTGGTTTTGGCTCATCTCGAAAGACCCACACACTCGATTGCTGCTTTGTTTTGGGATCGTAACTGTAAATCCATATTTTGTCACTTGTTACTATGTCCCACACCAAATTTGACGTCCCTTTGTTGAATCTGGTAAGCATGGCATTGCACCAAGTGACGCGATCCGTTTTTTGAGCCTCAGTCGAATTGTGTGGGATCCATCGAGAGTGCAGCTTTTTCACACCTAAATGTTTGTGTAGTATTGATTGTATTTGACTCATACCTATGCCTAAAGATGCCCGAATCTCATGGTATGTCACATGCCTATCTCTTTTGATCATACGGCGCACAGCATCGATGCTTTTGTTGTTCACAGCAGTGGACGGGCGACCATCACGAAATTCGTCACTGAGATTCATACGACTGCGTTTGAATTCTGCAAACCAGCTATAAATAGTCGTCTTGCATGGTGCTTCATTGCCAAAAGCAGTTTGAAGCCAAGCAAAGCTCTGCTGAGCTGTTTAATTACTCTTAAAGTCATAGAAAATCATACTACGAAAAATTTCCCGAGTTAAATTCATGGTGATGTAGACAACCTATTTCTAAAATGACGCCACAATATAAAAACAAGTGACAGTCAGATGAAACACACTGTATTCTACAGCCAAAGAGTTCCGTTTTCATATGTTGTAATTACTTTTTAAATATTGTTTATGTAAGTGGCCAGTTACGGAAACTTATAGAGCGCCCTATGTACCAAAAAGACATCACATAAACAGCAGCATCATACGCCAGAAGGGTACTTGTTACGGCGTAAACACAGCACTAGTTGAAATGTAAAGGGTCTAATGTTATAGGTTACAACCAAGAGCGTATCAAGCCTACCACTTTGGACTTTGATTCGTTCTTATAGCTAATATCATAGAATCGAATTTAAAAGTTAAGTGTTTAGCCTAACGTGCTCTTACCCTGCACACGTTATTAATGTAATAAGTAGTAATTTTTCGTTTCTTAAGTGTCATGTTTTCAAGCGTTGAACGCGATTGGGCGTTTTCTTACTGCTCGGTGTCAGATATTCGAGCTTCCGCTAAAAGGTGTGGTTGCCACTTTATAGCTTACTTGAAGGGTGATATACGCATATGAACACAGTCGTAGATTCCTACGAATGTTTTAAATCCCGGACTGTTCGAACGAGCCCTAAGGTTCATATGCGTGACAAACGCGAACCGAATGTACATACATACGAGGATAACCAAACTGTTATCGAATTCGTGAGGCACGGGAGTTGTAATTATAATCGGTCGATGCGATGTAAATATTCAATTCCAATTATCACGTGGGTCTTTCAAATAAATGAATTTCAGCACGAGGCAGCGTACCCATTGCAAGTCAAATTAATTTACACAAACTTTTACTGTAACAAAGAAATGTCGGACTACAATTTGAAACACATAAGAAAATTATATATGGTGTACATGCACGTGACTACAGACTGGCACGCAAAGGCACTGCAATGAATACGTTCACGGCATACATGGAGCAAACAGATATATTAAACTTGCCTCTTGTTAAGGAACTGTTAGTTTATTTCTTCTGGTGGTTGTACACAGGACGGAAGTAGGTGTGTGTACTGCTTATGTGTTATCGCCAGTGTTAACTTCTAGAGTAGCGAAAGCCCACGAGCGCTACGAATGGGACACGTAGTGACAACATACGGATTTGCATTGTGTCTTCACGCGGCGGCGGCGCGCGGCGGCACCCGACTCACGTTGGGCTAACTGCACCTGCATACGTTTTGTACTCTGTATAGAGCTTTATTTACTACTCCTGCTCCTGCATTTGAACTAAACAACGACATATTATGTTGAACCTTAAAAGGCCGACCTGTTAATTTATTGTAACTCATTATGATCATAATGATTATTTTAATCTTAAATTTTCATTATTTTCTTAAATTTTATTAGTGTGACTTTTCTGAGCTCTCACTAAGGTGCTTCATATTTAACATGAACTGTAACAAATCTGCATTTTGTAAACCTTTTTGAGAGAAATAAAGCATTTTGTATTGTATTGTATTGTATAATGCATTTAAAATGCATTGAGCTGTGACCAGTCCATCGTTCATTACAGTACAGTAGATAATTATGTACAAGCACTATGTGATACGTTGTGCGCGTTCGCTTTGCGGTCGGGGCGGTCGAGCTCTCGAAGCGCTACTGAA